ATTTATGGGGGTTGCATACGAGCTTTTTGGCCGCTCGAGAAATTGAATATCCATTTTTGGCATTGAGAGAGGGAAAAGCAAAAAAGAAGCATTGAAAATCGAATTTTGTGGAATCACACCACAAAAATGAGTAAATAAAACAAAATTTATTTTTTATTTAAAGGAAAAGGTAGGGAAAAAAGAACAAATAAATATAAAATTACACACATTATATATTCGTCTAATTAAAAAAAATAAATTTATTTCCTTAATTTTTTTCCTTAATTTTTTTAATAAATTACAAACAATAGAAAATAAATAAAAGAATTGCATGACAAAATTTAATAAAAATGAAACTTGGAGGTTTTCCCTTTTTTCCCTTTTTTGGGACAAATTAATAAGATTTTCTAATTATTGGAGCGAAACTTGACCTAATCGGAATGTTCCAAAATTGTATACCTTTATATGCCTTTTTTTGGATTTTTAATCTCTGGGGGATTATAAATATTAATTCTAATAAAATCTTTTTTTGTTGCGTGAAACTAAAATATTTTTAAATTAAAATTAAGAATAAAAAAAATATTTAAAGATATTCTTGAGAGAATTATAAAATTTTAAAATATTATATATAATCTTCTTTACTTTCCAAAAGTAGCAAAAATCCATTAATTTTAGAATTTGGAAAGGCTTAAAATAAGTTTTAAACAAATTTGTAATTAAGTTTTGTGTGACATAGAAATACGTATATTTATGTAATGTTGCTTATTGTAATCAGAGATATATTGTAATCGTAAAGTAAAATTGTAATTTTTACTTTCCGGATATTACAAGCTTAAATCAATTACAATGAAAAATAAGTTTTCAAGTTTATGGAGTTTCCGGAAAAAGAATATAAGTAAAGTTTCGGGATTAGGTATAATTTCCGGAAAAACAAGTATGAAGTTCAGACATAAATATATTTACGGAGTAAGTACATATAATTTCCGGAAAACGTATAGTTTCCGGAATAAAAAGTTTCCGGCATAATTATATATTTTAAGATATTTATGGAATAAGAATAGCTTCCGGAATAAGTATAATTTTCGGAAAATTACATTTAATAAGAGTTAACAGAGAAAACATTTCCGGAAAATACAAAATAAGTTTTAGTACATAGATTTTTTTAAATATTAGCCATAAGAAATAAAACTATTAAAGAATAAATTTTTTCAAAATACATTTTAAAATTAAATTAAGTTGGTATTTCAAAAAAATCTTAAAATGTTTAATATTATTATTAAATTATTTATGTAAGCGAACAAAAGTATTTTAAGGTGTGATCTTTCCAAAAATAGAAAAATGGGATTGGATAAATTTAAAAAAAATTTTATTTTAATTTAATTTATTTTATTTAAACAAAAATTAAGAATTCTCTAAAAATATTAAAAATTCTATTAAAAACAGGTCGTGAGAACAAAGAAGATTTTCTGATACATTTAATGAATGGGAAGAGGAAATTGCCCGTCTGGCAGAATAAAAATGTTAATTAAGTAATAACGAATAAATTTTTAAAATATTAAGGGTTTCATTTTATAATTATTTTAATAAATTGCAAAAATAAAGGAAATATATTGAGGATTAATTTATTAATATATCCATTAATTTTGGTTAATTCGTCACTTTTTTAATAACCAAAAGATTAGCTCATCCTACGCTTTTTCCCTTAAAAATTAAAAATTTGAAGGTATCACAAGTTTAAATAATTTAAAGTATCTTCGCTCTTTTGGGAAGAAAAAGTGCACAAAATTCAAAGAATTTTTTAATTTTTATTTGACGTAAACAAATTAATAATTCCATTCTTCTCAAGCTTTCCTTGTTTTATGTAAATTATTTAGAACGTGGAAGAAATTTTGTCTGAGTAAATATTTGCGATATTGAGGGTTAACAAACAATGAAAGTTGAACATATACATAAATTTTTAAAACTTTAAGGAATTTGTAAAATCTCAGAGAAATATTTTACAATTGTAAAGTAGTTGTAGAAAATATTTAGGAGGTATTCTAAAATTAATAATTCCTGAAGCCCGGAAAAGTTGCAGGAAGAATAAAAGCAACTTTACAAAGTGTAAAATATTTTCCGGAAAGTTTAAAAAAAGTTTATTAATTGTAAAATATTTTCCGGAAAGTTTATAAATTGTAAAATAATTTCCGAAAGGTTTATTAATTGTAAAAAGTTTTCCGGAAAGTTTTTAAATTTTAAAAATATTTCCGGAAAGTTCACAAATTGTAAAATAATAACGGAAAGTTTATAATTGTAAAATATTTTCCGGATAGTTTATAATTTGCAAAATACTTTCCGGAAACAATATTAATTATAAAATAATTTCCGGAAAGTCTACAAATTGTAAAATCTTTTCTGGAAAGTTTACAAATTTTAAATTATTTTCCGGAAAGTTTACAAATTGTAAAAAGTTTTCCGGAAAGTTTACAAATTGTAAAAAGTTTTCCGGAAAGTTTACAAATTGTAAAAAGTTTTCCGGAAAGTTTACAAATTGTAAAAAGTTTTCCGGAAAGTTTACAAATTGTAAAAAGTTTTCCGGAAAGTTTATTAATTGTAAAAATAATTTCCGGAAAGTTCACAAATTGTAAAAAGTTTACAAACTGTAAAATTAATTCATTAATAAACAAAAGAAGCAAGAGAAAAATAAAAATGCTAATTAAATATTTTATTTCCAAAAAAATATATGTAAAGCCTGCTTAAAAATTCTAAGCAAAAAATAAACAATAGAAACACAAAGCTAGTGTATTGTCTCTATTTTTCTTGTTCTTAATGCAGTTAGAAAATATTAACATTTACGTAATAAAAAAATTTTTTTCTTTAAAAAGGGTAGGGGGTAATGTTGAAAAATTAATTTTTTAAAATGCAAGTAAAAAGGAAAGGAAAGCAAATTTTAGTTAAATAATTTTAAAAAGTCTTATTATCTAGAAAATGTTGAGTTAAAATAAGTACCTACTTACCAGGAGGTAGGATGGGCGAAATCTAAAAATATAAAGCGAAATGCCTAGCCATGCTACTTACATTAGCTAAAATAATTTTAAAAAAATTTTAAAAACGTAAGACGAAAGGCGAAAAACTTAAAAAATGAAAATCGACGAAAAACCGGAAATGGCAACACCTAATACCTAAATTCCCAAAGGAAATTTTTTAGAAAATAATAACACAAAAAATTATGAATTATTAGAAGTTTTAATTAATTAAAAAACTAAGAAAAAATATCAAACAAAAAAAAATTTTTTCAATTTTTACCAGCAGAAATCTGGAACTTTATAAATATTTTTTAAAAAAATAAACATAATAGCTCTATAATTTGTTTTTGTTTTTTCCTTCAAATTTTTGTTTTCATTCATTTAATGGTTGATTGAAAAATAGAGTGGGGGGTTTTTTTTGTTATTTTTTCCTCTATATATTATTTTTAAGGATGTTTTTAAAAAATACTAAACTAGTTAGAAAATGTAAAAATTGAAAAAAAAAACAAAAATTGGAACAAAATGGAAGGGGAAAAATGAAAAAAAATGTTAAAAGAGGAAAAAGTACACACACACATTTATGGTGGTTGGCAATCCTCCTCCACCTCCTTCTCTTCTTCCACTTCTTAACATTTTGGCTTTCATGATTAAATTTTTATGTTCATTTTACAGGAGACACCCAAAAAAAATAAAAAACTTGAAAAATTAGGAACATGGAAAAGATGAAAAAGAAAATGAAAAAAGAAAAAATTATTAGAATTTTTGTGGGAAATAATAACTAAAAAAAATTATTTAAGGAGGCAACTTTAAAATTAAAAATTAAAAAATATTTTTATTTTGATCCGTTTTGGGGAAAATTTTTAAAGGAAATTTGGGAAAATTTTTTTGGGAAAATTTTTAAAGGAAAAAATTCAAAATAACCATAAATTTTATTATTTTTTATTAAATAAATAATTGATGAATCAAACAAAAAAAATAATCAAACAAGTCGTTGATGGGAACAAATACTTATATCTAATAATGATAATTATTTTGAATACCTATATTATTTGAGAAACATTTTTTAAATTGATATTCAGTAAAAAATAAATTAGTAGAATTTTAAAAAAGGTCCAATAAAAAAAATAAAAGAAGCAAAATTTAAAATTTTTTAAAGATACCCCAGAAAAAAATCAAGGACTGCCATATAATTGACAAAAAAAGTCTAAAATCAGTAAAAACGCATTTTTTTAAAAATAGAAGAGAATTGGAATAATAATATTAAAAATAATTTCTTAAACAATCTTTTTTTTAATAATAAAAATAATTTAATTTTTATAATATGGGAATTGTAAAATTTTCAAGCCTTTTTTATTAAAATAAATTAAAAAGCTTTATTTTTTATTTTTCTATTTTCCTCCCTTCTTTTTACTTAAACTTTTCCTCTTTTTCAAAGCTTCTTCTTCATCAGCCTTATTTTTCTTCCTCCTTTCCTCATATGCTTCCAATTCTTGGTCAACCAAATATTCAAATTTTTGAGGATTACAACGCCAAGTATTAAACTCACTAAAATATTGAACAAATTAAATAATCCGGAAAGTTTAAAAAATTAGAAGAAAATACAGCACACTTTTCCGGAATAAAAAGAAAATTGTATATGCTTCCGGAAATTTTATAGAATATATTTACCGGAAAAAATATATATAAACAACTTTCCGGAAAAGTTTATAAAATTGCAAGGAAAATTAAATTTTCCGGAAAGAAAATAGAATATTAAGTTTCCGGAAGAATAATATATCTAAAATAATTTTTCCGGAATAGAAATATATTTCCGGAAACTTTATAATCATACCCTACATTTTCCGGAATTTATATTGAAAAAGAATTTTCCGGAATAGAAAATAGAAGTTTCCGGAAGAATATACAAAACTAACAATAGAATAATTTTTCCGGAACCGAAATATATTTCCGGAAAACTTTTTCAGAGCTTATAAAATAAATTTTTCCGGAATGAAAATAGAAGTTTCCGGAAACATATTAAATTAATTTACACCTTTCCGGAAAAATTATAGCTATACTCATAGTTATACATTTTCCGGAAAAAATAATTAAAATTAAAAAATAATTATACCTGCATTCAGTCATTAATGACGGGTCAGAAAATTTGGTATCCTCCAAAAATGGAATTGGAGGGAAGATGTAATCAACAGTGTCAATAGCCATACTAACATAATCGGAGACATAACCAATTTTATCTGCACGCCGAAGCATTCCAGAAGGGTCAATAATTAAAATTCGTTCCAATGGAATATCTACTGCTTTATACGATTTTACATCCTTCAAAAAAAATTTTTTTTCAAAAAAATTTTTAGAAAAATAACCGTTTCACGATTTCCAAATCCAGCAAAAAAAGGTCTATCAACGGGGAAAAGCGATTTCAAGTCATTTAAACAAGCAATTTTAAATTCTTCTGGTCGACGTTCAATTACCTCTCTTTAAAAGAATTTTTTAAATTAATAAAAAAATTCAAAAAAATTTCCAAACTTTTTAAATGCCATTAATACAGAAGTTGGAGAAAGCAAAACTGGACCATCTGGAAGTGTTTGAGATCCTTGAGCAATACTTTGAAGATATGTTTTTGTGTAATGAGATTGGCCGATAGCACGAGATGAGAGGTAAACCATTTGATAACTAAAAAATTTTTTTTTAATTTGCCGGAAATTTTTGTCAAAAAATTAAATTTTTTCTAAAAAAACTTCTTAAAATTACAATCTTTTTTGAAAATAATCCCAAAAATTTGTTTCCAAAAAATTTTTTTCCTAAAAATTTCAAAGAAAATTTCACCCAAAAATTCCAAAAAGATTCATAGAAGAACTAACCCATTATTTTTAATTCTTGTATAAAGTTCAGCAACACCAGAATGTGCCCAAGTTCCCCCAATTGCAGGTATTACATGTCCAAGAACGTCACTTTTAGTTATTGTTCCATCAATATCAGAAATTACCAATTTATCACACCAACGAAGTAAATAAATGTGACAACTACACCAAGCAGTTCCCTTTTTTAAAAGATTAAAAAATTAAAAAGAAAGAAAAATGGTTCATTCAGCAGCCGCCAATTATGTGAGAAATCTCAAAAAATTTCATAAAAAACCCCCAAAATCCTAACAAAAAATCATGACTATTTTTAATAAAAAACAAAAATTCAAACTTAGGAAAAGAAACCTGGAATTTAGTTGTTATACTAAACCTAGCATCATTCGAGCCATAATCCAAATTTAACAATTTTAATTGATCACTAGACAACCTCAACGAACGTTTGTATTTTTTAGAAGCTGCGGATATTAAATGCTCTGCTGTAGTAGCAACAAATTCTTCATCACTGAGATTTCTTTAAAAAAATTTTTTAATTAAATTTTTGGGGGTGGAGAGGTTCCCTTGATTCCCACAACCGAAAATTGGAAAAAGGTTCCAATATAAATTAAAAATAAATACAAATCAGTAGCACAAGAAGCATCAGAATTTCCACTATCAAATCGACTTCTCGATGTTGGTACATTTTTAGATTTTTCCAAAGTTGAAGGGGAGGAAATTGAGGTTGCTGGAGTTGCTCCAATATTGTTTTCAGCAGTTACAGTCTACAAAAATGGAAGGGATCTGATCTTATAGGATATTTTTAAATCTAATTGCAAATTCCTCAATACTAATAATAACGTTGAAATTAGAAAAAAAATCTGACCGGGAAATAAAATTACAGAAATCGTAAAAACTTTTGATCAAAAGAAACAAGTTTCAGGGCGCTCAAACTCTTAAAAAATGGATCTAATGTAAGTAAACCAAGAGCGTAGCCGGGGACTTTTGGAGAATCCCATTCCAACCAGCATTCACAAAATGGTTCTAAGCCAAGCAAGGGCGTAGCCAGGAGTTCGATTTCCGGGGGCCCTCTGGCTACGCCCTTGAAGCCAAGGGCATAGCCAGGTGGGCTTCTGGGGAATCCTATTCCAAAATGAATCCTATTCCTACTTCTCCCCAATAAAATAGAAATTTTTAAAAATATACGAAAAAATAACCAAATTTTCTAAAGAATGTGCTTGACTATTACTCGTTGGTTGTTTATTCATTCCATCAACCACAATTCCTGTTAATGTAGCAGTATCATTATCATCATTTATACTCATAGCAGAAGAAGGACTTGTACCAAGAGAAACACCTTTTCCACTATCAAAATTTGAAGCATTTGAAGAAATACTTTGAACAGAAAAATTTTTTTAATGAATTTAAAAAATTGGGGGGAAAAGCAGCAAAAAGCAAAATGGGAAAAGGGAATAATTTTTAAGGTAAATTTTAAATTTTTTTTAAAAAAGCAGGGGTGTAAATAATTTTTTTCAAATTTCCTACTCATCAAGATATTCACAACAACAATGCGAAAAATCAATGTCAAAAATAAAAGGAAAATCATCAACACAAAAATAGTCCAAACTGAGTCTCCCACCACTATTTTTTTTAATTTATAAAATATTTTAAAGAAAAAAAATACAAGTACTAATTGGAGTTATGTCCACAACATTTTCCCTTACCCTCAAAATTGCTACTATGTATTTACTTTTGGCATCTAATCAGGGGACGGTCGAGGGTATGAAGGTGCCGTCAATCGAAACAGTCGTAAGGGCGTAGCCAGAGGGGGAGGCTTCTGGGACTATAGCCCCCCTGAAATGTGAGCCAAAATTTTGGCGCACCCTCTGAAATCGATACCCTGGTTATGCCCTTTAACAGTCGTAAATCTGAATTCTGACATACCTCTGCATTTTAGAAAATAAAAATTGGTGGAGGAAGGAAAAATGCTTGGCATGAACCCCGAACTATTACCAAAATTAATTTAAAAAATTTAAAAAAGAAACCTCATAGCCCCACTTCTAGTTCCAAAATATTTTTCCAACTTTGCCGGGTCATTTCCCAAATCTTGAAGATAAAGTCCCTTTCCTTCTTGTTGTTTTTCTTCTTCTTTTTTATCATTCACAACTTCATTTTTATTTAATTTATCCCCTCCATCAGTAGCTTCTTCCCCTTCCTCTTGTTGGGGTTGTCTAGACCATCTAAACCAATTCCAACGACCTTGTTTTTCATTTTTCTTGGTTGTGCTTCTGGAAGAGTCTTTAGTTTTTGAAGATTTTGGAATTTCACCCCATTTCCATTCTGGGTCATTCTGTGAAGAGAAAAAAAATTTTTTTTAATTTTTTGGAAATTTTTCTTGAAAATTTTTTAGAAAAATTTTCTGAATTTTTTCAAATTTTTTTCGAAGAAATTGACAACCTTAAGACAAAAACCATTCCAAAAAAATTATTTAAATAAAAAAATAACCATATCAGGAGAATTTCCTTGACGATCAACTTCCGGGTCAGAAAGAGCTCCATCTGCTATATCACTCCCAACATTTGATGGTTTAAGCAAATTATTTTTCGAATTTTCCAAATTATTAGGGTCTTCCTCATCATCATCTGAAGAACAAAAAAATGTCGTTTTAGTGGAAGATTCTGGAGAAATTGATTGTTTTGATTCTTCTTTTTGATCATCTTGTAGAGAAATGGGAGAAATTGGTGAAGATTGTTGTTGTTCACTATTTGACGAAGGAGACGATTTTTCAACTGGAGTCAAGTTGAAATCTGTGTCAGTGACCTTTAAAATATTAAAATTAAATAGAGGATTTCTCAAGTCTAAAGCTTACATTTAAACAATTAATTTAAATTAGGATTTTAACTGTATGGGAAATTTTCAGACCTTAGTCAGGGGAGGAGGGTAAGAGGGCCCCCAAAAAATCCTGGCTACGGGCCTGGAATTTTCATCATTTTTCCCTAGTTTTGCCAGTGGTAACAAAATACCTAAATCAAAAAGAAGTAATTTTGAAAGATGGTCATGAGGACAGTTGTCCCTAGAGATCGTCCTGAATCTGGATCCAGACCTTGATTTTTCTTTGACTCAAGATCAAGAAACTGGCGAGGTCCACGACCAAAATCAAAATTTTTTAAAAATTTCCTATCCTTACATTTAGTTGCTCTCGATCTCCTCAAAAATATGAAAAAAGGGAAATAAAATGGGGCCAATAAATTACTTTTAAAAATAACTGTCATCCTAAGAATTTTTTGAAGGTCTCCCCGAGTCAAAAAACAAACAAGAAATCCTAATCAAAAAAATTTAAAAAAAACTACATTTTTGAGAGCAGTCGAAGCAGATTTAGAATGATGAAAGCCTCCTCCATTTACATTTTTGGAAAAAACATTATTTTCATTAATCAATTTTTGCATATCAATAGCGCCAAAAGTTGCTTTCCTTCAAAAAATTATTTTAAAAAATTATTTAAAAAAATATTTAAAAATTCAAAAAACCTTTTGTGTTTACTCTTCTTTTTTCCATTTTCCCCTTCTCCAACAACCTGTACACGAGCAGAAACAATTTGTGAATTTATATCATTTTGGTTGTAATCGCTAGGTAAAATTGACAAATCTGGAAGTGAACGGTTTTTTCTACACGAATAAATTGACAAGGAAAATGGAAGCATTTTTTTCTGTCTTTGTTGTTGTGGAGGTCTACTAAAAAAATTTTTTTAATAAATAAAATAAGAGTAAATATGGCTTTTACAGATCCCTAGAAAAAATTGAGAAAGTGATCTTTCAATATTTTCGAGGTTTGCCTACCTGGAGTTCAAAAAGAACAAATTCTAAATTAATATTCGGATTACCCTCAAAAAATATTGAAAGATTCCCATAGAATTAACTAGATTTTTCCTGGGTCCAGTGAAACCACCTTTACTAAAAAAATCAATAAAAACCTCTTCTGCAAAGGCAATTCATCGTCACTACTGCTTGAACCTTTACGAGGTCTAACAACGGCAGAATCCTTTCGTGGCGAGCGTTTAGAAGGTCTAGTTTGGTCAACAAGGCTTTTGCTTTCCTAAAAATAAAAATTGATGAAAGGATACGGAAAGGATTAAATTTAAATTTTATAGGCAACCGTCAATTTTCTGACCTTAAATAATTTCCGGAAAAAGAAATAGCAGAAAATACTAAATTAAGAAAGATTACGGAAAAATTAATAAATTAACCGGAAATAAATAAATGAAGTATACCATCTAGTTTTCCGGAAAGTTGACTATTCATTCTTCCGGAAAAATTAATTCAGAATAAAAAGTTTCCTGAAAACATAAGAACAGAAAACATACGAGGACGATTTCGGAAACATATAAATTCACTTTTCCGGAAAGATAATAATTTCCGGAATTTATATCACATAAATATATACCGGAAGACAGCGAATTTTAGAAAGATGTGTGGTAGTGTTTCGCTGGAAGTTTCTGTTCCGGTAAAAAAAAGATAGATCCGGTTCCGGCCAAATTTGCAGTTCCGGCGAAACACTAATGTGTAGCCTTCCGGAAATTTCCCTTCAAATAAAATTTAACCTTTGCAGAAGGCGTAAGTCTAGCAGCCCCATCAGTTTCCACAATATCATCAGGCAAAGGACTCGTTTCCAAATGTGAAGGCAATTCTGTCTCCTCCTCCGACTTTTCCACAAAGAAAGCAACACCATTCCCACCCAATTTCATTTTTAAATCAATTTCTTCATTATTTATTTGTATATCAACATACTAAAAAGTGAGAATTCTTAACAGAAAATCCCTCAAAAAACCTTATCGTCATAATTAAAAACTCCATATTTTCCAAAGCGAACATGAAAAGGTGTTGACAACATTGTCCCGTCTGGTTGTTCAACAACTATAACATCTATTGCCCCTTTAAAAAATTTTTTTTTGAGTAAAATTCCGTTAGCTCCCCCTTCTCAGATTTGGACAAACTATATGACCGTCCAAAGAGCTCGACAAGCCGACATCAAAATTAAGCAAGGGACTCAATTTTGGACTGAAGGGAGCAGGCCAGTGTACCGCAAACCCATTTTAACGCCGAGCTATATCTTCGTTCAACATTGTCGAATCCGGGATGCACTGGTATGTTACGATGCGCCTCGACGAGCTGATTCGGACCATATGAGGGCGTCACGGATTCGAAAATTTTGAACGGAGTTATAGCTCGGCAGTACAATGGACACGCGGTACATCGGGGTGTACCGGTAGTGAAAGATAGGGTCAAGATATTAGCAAATTGTTTGTCCAAATCGGAGTATGGGAGATAAGACGGAATTTTTTCCAATTTTTTTTTATTAAAAATAAATTTAAAAAAATTTCTAAAAGAAACCAGAAAGTGTTGCTGAATTCATTGAATTGTAGAGATATTTGACGTTGTTAAAAATATAATAAACATAATTCATTTTGTGTAGTTTTTAATTTTGTGTCAATTTTGCGAAATAAATAAAAGAAATTTTTTAGAGAATGTACTTAAATTGTTAAAAAATTAAAATTGTAAAAAAATTTTAATGTATGTAGTTATTTTGAAATAAATAAATAAAAATCCTCTTTTTCTCTAACCGTCTCTCTTCTTTTTGCACACTATTTCGATAAAACAAAAAGTAAATCCTAAGCGGGACACGCCCAAAACGGCGCGCTGCCATAACGGCGCAGAGCCATAACTTGCTTCAAAATTTCCGAATTTTACCAAATTTAGTATCAAACGATTCCTCTCATCGAGCTAAGGAGATTGGAACCAAAATTGTTAAGGAACGGACATTCTTCAGCAAGTTATGGCTCTGCGCCGTTATGGCCGCGCGCCGTTTTGGGCTGTACCCATCCTAAGCTATTGAGTTTTAAATCCGCTTTGTGTTCACGATTTGACGTAAAAGATGTGTTCTACAAGAGAGAAAGAGAAGAAAATGCACAAAAAAGATAGGAAAAAATTTTAGAAAGCAAAGAATATTAAAAATTAATAATGAAAAATGGGAAATTTCCCTTTGGGGCTTCGGAGTCTCTCAATTAACATTTAAAAACAAAAAATTACCTAACAAGATAAAAATTAAAAATCAAAATAACTTTAAAGGAAGTAACTAGGACGTGTCGGGTTAAAACATGGAACGGACAAGACAAGGAATGACAAAACACGGAACGACCAAAATACGGACTATACCAAAACACGGAATAGACAAAACAAGGTGTTTTTTGGTCGTTCCGTGATTTGGCCATTCCGTGTTTTGGTAAGACCTTGTTTTGACTTGTCCGTGTTTTGGTATGGTCCGTATTTTGGTCGTTCCTTGTTTTGTCTTTTCCATGTTCTGTCCGTTCCGTGTTCTGTCCGTTCCGTGTTTTGGCATTCCTTGTTCTGCCCCTCACCCAACTGGGAAAGGTTATCTTAACAAATTAAGTAGGTATCCTAACTTTATAAACACCTCAGTCCATTCTTCGGACTCTGCAACTTTCATAAACCCCCTCATGACTATAATAAAAAATAAATGTTTAGGAGAAAAGTGTGAACACAACAAAAAAAAGATAAATAAAAATGCGCTGACTTTTAACCGACAAAGGTTCCCCCTTTTCTCTCAAGGTCTTGTATGTTTGTTTGGAAAGTATGGGCTGACAAAAAAATTTTTTGAGTGCCTTTGATATAGTAAAAAAAACTTTTGATAAAAAAACAGTGTTTAGTCAGGAGTCTAGCAGGTTATTTGTGAGTGATTTATTATGAAATGGTGACAAAAAGAGAATGATACTACATACCAAAAATCAAAGAATCAACAAAAACAATTAAGCATGATTATTTAAAAACACCAATTTAAAGTGAAGGAGTAAAGGGTTAATAAAAATCAGAATTATCATTAGAAAAATACAAATCAGAATTAAAAATAATTACAATACAAAATAATTCTGAAAATAAATCAGAATTATTATTACATATCTAAAATACAAATTCTGATTTTTCTGATTTGTAATTTTTCAAATCAGAATTTGTAATTTAAATATGTTAAAATACAAATTCTGATTTAAAATACAAATCAGAATTTATTAAAGAAATACAAACCAGAATTTGTAAAGAAATACAAATCAGAATTTGTAATTAAAAAAATACAAATCAGAATTTATTGAAGAAATACAAACCAGAATTTGTAAAGAAATACAAATCAGAATTATTTTAAAAAATACAAACCAGAATTATTTTAAAAAATACAAACCAGAACTTTTTAAAGAAACACAAACCAGAATTTATTAGAGAAGTACAAACCAGAATTTATTCAAGAAATACAAATCAGAATTTGTAAAAAATATAAACCAGAATTTATTCAAGAAATACAAATCAGAATTTGTAAAAAATATAAACCAGAATTTATTAAAGAAATACAAACCAGAATTTATTTAAGAAATACAAATCAGAATTATTATTTCTTATTTTAAAATACAAATTCTGATTTAAAAATACAAACCAGAATTCTGATTTTCTAAAGTACATGTAGAACTTAAAATTAATTGTTTACCTAAGTTTTATCAGAGTAATTAATATTTATAAGGCCGTCGATGTTTCCTCACAGCCCAGTTGATAAAGCAAAAATAAAAACTAGAGCATTCTTTCCTCCCAAAAATATATTTAGAGGAGATCAAAGAATCGAGCAATTAATTTTAAATTTACCCAATTTTAAAGAAAAAAAATATTTCAAAAGAGGAAACCCATTAAAGTTGAATGTATCTTTTAACTAAAATAAAAATAAATTTAGAAAAGGAAAAGAATTTAGAGGATAAAAATAAATGTATGAGAAGACCATGTGGTCTTTTCTTCCGATTAAAATACTTTGGATTTTAAAAAAATTAGGGAAAAAAATTTTTTTGAATTGGAAAAAAATATAATAAAAGGGGGCCGAACTTGAGGAAGTGTCGAGCTCGAGCATACGAAAAATTTCGACCTCGATATAATTTTTGAAAGACATCTCGAGTTGGTCCCGAGAGGAAGAAAGTTATTTTTCTCGAGAACCTTTTAAACTTACTAATTTTTTGTTTAATCAATTCTTATTTATCTAATTTCATTATTCACCAATTTAAAGTGTGATAATTATTTGTATACTATTTTAACACTTCTTCAATTATTCACTACAATCTACTAATTATTTTATCATTTTTAAACTAAAATTCTCGCCTTTAAGTTATAAAATCGACTACTAGTTAACATTGTTATACATAAATCAGAATTTACAAATCAGAATATTTATTTAATTCTAATTTGTAAAATAATTCTGATTTGTAAAAAATTCTGATTTTTAAAAATCAGAATAATATATTTTCAATTTATAAAACCAGAATTTACAAATCAGAATATTTAATTCTGATTGTAAAAATAAATTCAATTTGCAAAAAAAATCTGATTTTTAAAAACCAGAATATATGTACTTTCAATTTATAAAATCAGAATTTACAAATCAGAATTTAAAAAATATATTCTGATTTGTAAATTCTTGTTCTATAAATTGAAAATAAATATTCTGGTTTGCAAATCAGAATTATCTTTTACAAATTATCAGAATTATTTTTTACAATTTGTAAAAGATTCAAATCAGAATATGTATTTGTATTTTCAATTCTTCTGATTTGTATCTGGTCTTATTCTCTCTTTTTAATTCTGATTGTATTTTTATATTTACTTTTCTTTAAAATTCTGATTTTTTAATTATTTTTTGTTCTGGTTTTTAACAACACATATGAATTATAATTGTATGTTGGAAAGCTTTTATATGTAGCTTCAATTTTCTTTCCCCTCATTTTATTCAGAATAAAAATCGGAAGGTATTTATGAGGTCATCCTCATTCATTTTTGAGGTGTGTACTTTTAAAATAAATAATATATTTTCTCGCTGGGCGCAATTTTAATTTTAGGGCTGTTTTTAAACTCCTCGATTCATGCGAAAAAAGGGGCGAAGATGTGACGATTATTATTATTTTTTGATTGTGACGGAAATAAATAAAAATAATTTATAGTGAATAATCCTAAGGAAAATTTTGACTTTTTAATTAAAAATATAGTAAAAAAAATTATTTCAGAATAATTTTAAAATAATATTTTGGCAATATTTGCGAAGGATTGCGCGTCTTCACTTAATCTCAATAAAATTAAGAGTCTTCATAAGGGAAAATTTTTTTGTTTTTTTCTAAAATTTTATTCTCCTAAAATACTACACGTTAAATAAATATTTTTTTGTAAACGTTCCTTAATCTAAAAATATTGTTTTTATTTTATTTTTCAATTGATCTAAACTGCCTCATGCCTTTTATCGCTTGAACGATTCCTTCCCAATTTCTTTATTTCCCTCATAAAACCAGGGATTTAACCAAAAATAAAAATCCCTTTATTCTTTATTTTATTGACGATATACAACAATAACAAAAGTGTTCTTTTAAAACGTTTAATAAAAAATGCGCAAATTTTTTTGCGGATTTCTGCAAATGATTTTTGCGGATTTCTGCAATTTTTTTAAAATCCGCAAATATTTTTTGCGGATTTTCCGCAAATGATTTTTGCGGATTTCCGCAAGTGATTTTTCCGGATTTCTGACATTTTTTGCGGATTTTCTGCAAATAATTTTTGCGGATTTCTGCAATTTTTTTAAATCCGCAAAATTTTTGCGGATTTTGCTAATCTTAGTAGAATCCGCAAATAAAAACAAAATTAATTGTTGATCTTTTGAGTTTTACTAAATGTACTTTTCATACATGCATATCCTCATTTACATTTTTTAATTGCCCTGCTTGTTCTTTTTTTGCTTTCAAAAAAATTACCGGATTTTAGAGGATTATTGTCATGTGAAAGGGTAATTTAGATTTTGAATTAGCGTTTTTAATCTTCTTTTTTGTTTGGATCTGTCACAAAGGGGAGCTAGACAAAAGGTTTTTTGTATTTTCTGCATTTATTTTTATTTCCAGAAAAATTCACAATTAACTTTATTAAACTAGAAATTTCCCTATTTTATAAGGGGAACACTCTACTGCTTGGAAGGGTAGTTGAACAATAGTAGTTGAACCCCCGACGCAAAAATCACGGCTGATCTATCACTGAATCTACAGTCTGAGAACACTATAAAATAGTACATTCAACCAGTCTGATCACACTATAAAATACACTCAAGACTAGATACACCTTCATTTAAAATACCTTCGTTTTAAAATTTTGTTGGCCACTTTGGTGGAGAAGGTGTCTTAACAATACGGGGGTATTAGCTTTACTGCTTGGAAGAGTAGTTGAACAATAATATTTGAATCCCCGTTTTTAAAATTTTACTGGCCACTTGGTAGGGAAGGTGTCAAATAATGACCCAATATACCCAACTATACGATAAAAAATTTTTCACCTCCAAGTGGGTATCTTATAGCGAGCTCCGATTTTCTTATATCATAAATCCACTGATCACTTTCCCACTTTTTCAGTTCAATTTTACTTAAAGCTGAATAATTAACTAATGACCCAAACAACACAAAAGACTATTGGAAGCATTCAAACAATCATTCTCTATCGAAAACGGCCTTGTAGAGAACAAAATTTTAGCAAATGGAAAAAACAAAAACGCAGCTTTTCTCCTTGCCTAGGCTTTTCTGTTGTTGGAGGTGTGGATTCGCCTAGAGGGCCGATGGGGATTTTTGTTAAGACAATATTTCCTAATGGATTAGCTGCGAGAAGTGGACTTTTGAGGACGGGTGGGTGATAAATCATTTATAAAATTTAGGATAATATTTGCGGATTAATCCGCAAAATTTTTCATTTGTCCGCAAATTTTTTGCGGATAAAATTTTTGCGGACAAATTTTTGCGGACAAATTTTTGCGGACAAAATTTTTGCGGACAAAATTTTTTGCGGACAAAATTTTTGCGGACAAATTTTTTGCGGACAAAATTTTTGCGGACAAAATTTTTTGCGGACAAAATTTTTGCGGACAAAATTTTTTGCGGACAAAATTTTTTATCCGCAATTTTTATCCGCAATTATAAAGGTGATGAACTCCTCAGTGTTTGCGGTATCCCTCTGCAAGGAATGACTCAAGCAGAATCTCTCCAAGTTTTTCACAACACTAAAAATCGTTCAGAAGTTATATTATGCATAAGAAGATCATACCTGCCTTTCAATAAATTAAACAGATATAACAACACAAAATTTGTTAATGACCTAACAAAATTTAATCAGGCATTTTTGGCGGATAATAAAATAGAGGGAGTGGACTTGAGAGAAGGAAGAGGTTCTTTAAAACGACAAATATCAACTGGTGCTAAGAGCGATAAAGTAAGAGGCTTCTCCCTCATAACCAGAGGTGGGTTGGAATTCCGACTTCCGACGTTTTTTTCCTTCCGATTTCCGATTTCCGAAAAAAAGTTTGATTTCCGATTTCTGAGTTCCGACTTCTGAGCCAGTTCCGATTTCCGGCTCTTCCGATTTCCTACACCTCTGTCTGTTCCGCCCACCTCTCCCTTATTATAGCCTAGAAACCTAGAGAAAAACCTAGTGAATGCCACCTTCCCTTATTTTCAAGTCCTTTCTAAAACCAAAAATGTGGTCTCTGAAACTTTGTCGGATTATTCCTATTTTTAATCAGAGAATAGAAAAACATACATATTTTTAGGACGGCAACTTTCCTTATTAAACTTCTCACTGGGAAAAGGAGAATAAAAATATTAAAAGCCACTTACTTAATTCTTAATATGTTAAAATTATAAGGGAAATATTTTTTAAAAATTTTTAATTTGTCCATTAATGACCATTTCCCTACTAAAAACAAAAATTAAGCTTTTTATTTTTTGCTTGAACAGCTGCTGGGCAGCAATCGAAAATGGGGGATAAAAAGTGGACATATTTACTCAATCAAGTTTACACAGTTACACACTCACAATCATTACTTAAATTAAGCTATTCTTTTTATAAATATAGTATATATTACAAATCAATTCTGGTTTTTATAATTTATTTAAATCAGAATTTTTTGTTTTAATTCAACCAGAGTAATCTGTAGTCTCAGAATATTTTTTTACTTCAAAACAGAATTAATACAAATCAGAATTTATTTCTATGTAGTTGTTTAAGTCTTTTATTTAACTTTTCCGGAAAATATTAACTTACTTTTCCGGAATTTTTATATTTAATTTTCCGGAAATTACATATTATACCATTTACTTTTCCGGAATCTATATTTATTTTCCGGAAATTATCATATTTATTTTCCGGAAAACATATTACCTTTCCGGAACTTTATTTTATTTATTTTCCGGAAATTACTATATTTACCCTTCCGGAATATTATTTTATTTATTTTCCGGAAAACATTATATTTACCTTTCCGGAAATCTATTTTATTTTTCCGGAAATCTTTATATTTATCTTTTCCGGAAACCATTATATTCACCTTTCCGGAAATTTATTTTATTTATTTTCCGGAAATTATTATTATATATCTACATACACATACACTTTCACGGAATTTCAACAATCATTAAATACAAGTCTATAAGTGTAAAATATATTTATTCTCCTTATTCGACTGAGATTACTCAATAATAATGAGGGTAAGAATTTAAATTAAAATTTCCTATTAAAATAGTTCTTCAATCGAAAAAATTTTTTTTAAATTCATTTTTCTTAGAATGTTATTTTGCGAACTAAGAGACGTCTGGGCAAGCGGTTGTTTTTGGGAACAAAAATGATAAAATCAAAAATAATTTTAAAACGTCAAACATTGGACGAACGTTTAGGTATTGCTATAGCTGTAGAGAATGATGAAAATAATGGGAGGTTAATGAAATAAAAAAAATTTTTTCTAAAAAAGAAATTTTCTTCAAGAGTTTTATGCGTTCGAATAGAACAAGTGGAAGAAGGTTCCGCTGCCCAACGCAGTGGTTTATTACCTGGAGATGCAATTATACGAATTGATGGGATAAGTGTTAATAGCTGTACAAGAATTGAATGTTTGAGGCTTTTTGCCGACGCTAAGCTTTTAACAGAATTGGTTATTTTGCCTGTTGAAATGTAAGAATGGGATTTTATAAAAGTTTGGGAGATTGAGGGTACAAAATTTTTTAAAATAAATTTTGCTTAGTATTAATAGTAAACGGAAATGTAAGACGGAAACTGGACGATAACCGGAAGTTAAATAATAACCTTGGAAAATAAAAAAAGTATTTTCCGGAAATGTTCATTCATTCCGGAAAAAAGTGAATAGAATATTTTCAGGAAAAGTAGAAATAATACGTTCCGGAAAAGTAAATACAATAATTTCCGGAAAAGTTGATATAATAAAATCCGGAAAATTAAAAATAATATTTTCCGGAAAGTTTTATTTTTTCCGGAAAAAATGAATAGAATATTTTCAGGAAAAGTAGATATAATACTTTCCGGAAAAGATATAATAATTTCCGGAAAATTAAAAATATTTTTTCCGGAAAAACTGAATAGAATATTTTCAGGAGAAGTAGATATAATACTTTCCGGAAAAGTAAATAAAATAATTTTCCGGAAAGGCTGGTATAATATTTTCCGGAAAATTAAATAAAATATTTTTCGGAAATGTTCATTCCTTCCGGAAAACAATGAATAGAATATTTTCAGGAAAAGTGACATAATACTTTCCGGAAAAGTGAATACTACAATTTCCGGAAAAGTAGAAATAATACATTCCGGGAAATTAAAAATAATATTTTCCGGAAATGTTTATTCTTTCCGGAATTTACATACTATTTAATTACTTCTAAATTATATTAACGTTAATTCCGGAGATATCTTTCCGAAACATTTATAATTAATTAATTATTAATTTTTAATAAATATACTTATAGAATGGAAGCGATCGAAAAAATTGGAGGTGCGAACGAAGATGGAATTTATAAAAATATGCAAAACAATATAAACATGAAAAAGCCGGCACGAGGTAATTAAATACTTTCAAAAATTTTTAAAAGAAAAAAATTTTGAAAAAAAAATAATTTTATTTCCTCAACACTATTTTCAAACGTTCTAAATATTTTTATAGTGTTTTTTTAGTTTACACAATTTTTATGACCAAATAAAAGATTTATAAACGTTCATTTTCTGAATCATTGCCAATGCTCAATTTCTTCATTTTATTTTTATTTTATTATTTTTTAAACCAGCGTTCGGCGCGAATTGCTGACATGTAAATAAGCTTTTTGGGTATAAAGGCTGACTCCAGCGTTATTACAGTTAAAATAATTCAATTTGGGTTAATTTCCCAGTAATTGAAAATTTCAGACTCAAATGTCCATTCTCAGACTCAAGTGACACCTTTGAAAATATTTTCATTCAACTCCTCATTCAATTCCCCATCGAATGACACCTCAATCATCTTTCTATGTCTAATACATCAAAAGTTATAAATTTTTACATTTAAGTCATAAAAAACATGCGGGCCTTTGGCCCGCATGTTTTCCTGCCTCCGACAACGCGTTCCGAATTTAAAAAAATATTTTTAATTTCTTGCGGTTGCCTCCGGCAACGTTATCCCCGTCTATTAAAACCTATTATGGCCAAAAATTAGAAAATTTTCTCAAAAAAAATTTACAAAAATTTTTCAAAGGGGTACCCCTTATTAAATATTTCCGAAAAACTTTGATCTACCATAACTTTGTGAGTTATGGTCCAATGCGAACCAAACAAAAATATTAAATAGAGTAAAAAATTAGAAATTTTTTAATGTACAAAAATTTCTGAAAAATTTAAGGTTAGAGGGTCTAAGTGTCGATTTTTTGAAAAATCATAAATTTTTGGTTTTTTCAAAATTTAAACGGGTATAAGCAGTGTAGGTTTTTGATTAATTTTTTAAAATAAAGCCAGATTTTATACACATAATAAACTTTAAACTTTTCCAAAATCCCAAAAACAAACGAAGTTATGATTTTTCAAAAAATTTTTTGAAAAAATCGAGCAAAATTTTTGGCCGAAATCTCAACTTTACCAAAAATTTTAAAACCTGCCCAAATTATATATCAAATGTAAGCACTTAATGAGCTGAGTATAAAAATAAAATCAGAAAAAATTTCTGACCATTTTGTACAAATTTATGAGTGACCAAATCTTGGGTCTCCACAACTTCAGGCCATGAGTGAAACTTTTTGGCCTCTAACTTGGAGGAAAAATTTTCAAAAATATTTTTAAAAAATTCGCTTGATTTTTACACGTCGAATGACACCTCAATCATATTTTTCCGATAACTACTTCAAAAGTTACAAAAAACGCCTCACCGTTGCTTAACTTTCCAGATCGGACGGTCTAGATCGTCAAAATTAAAAAGTTTTCCCCAAAATTTTAATTTCTTAAAAAATTAATAACTTTTTCAAAAAAAGTCGAAAAAGCATAAAACAAAGCTTATTCGATGCAGAATTTAATTCTCTATCTTCCATCTCCCAACACTTTTCTTTTAACTCCAAAACAAAATATAGTTAAGGGCGTTCGGCGCGAATTACTGAAATGTAAATAAGCTTTTTGGGTATAAAGGCTGACTCCAGCGTTATTACCATTAAAAGAATTCAATTTGTCATAATTTCCCAATATTTGAAAACTTCAGACTCAAATGTCCATTCTCAGACTCAAGTGACACTCTTAAAATTATCTTCATTCAACTCCTTATTCAATTCTCAATCGAATGACACCTCAACCATCTTTCTACGACTAATACATCAAAAGTTATAAAATTTTAAATTTAAGCATAAAATCGACATGCGGGCCTTCGGCCCGCATGTTTTCTGCAACGCGTTTCAAATTTAAAAAAATATTTTCAATTATGGCAGTTGCTTCCGGCAACGCGTTTTCTGCAACGCGTTGCGATTTCTTAAAAAATAATTTTAAAGTCTGGCGGTTGCCTCCGGCAACGCGTTTTCTGCAACGCGTTCCGAATTTTTAAAATATAATTTTTAATTCTGGCGGTTGCCTCCGGCAACGCGTTTTCTGCAACGCGTTCCAATTTCCGTAAAAAATAATTTTTAATTCCTGGCGGTTGCCTCCGGCAACGCGTTTTCTGCAACGCGTTCCAATTTCCGTAAAAAATAATTTTTAATTCCTGGCGGTTGCCTCCGGCAACGCGTTTTCTGCAACGCGTTCCAATTTCCGTAAAAAATAATTTTTAATTCCTGGCGGTTGCCTCCGGCAACCGCCAGGAATTAAATTAAACGTGAAATTAACTTCTAAATTAATTTGCCTTATTTTTATAAAATTTTATAAAAATTTTCAGTCCTAGACTAAAAGTTATAAATGAGACTCAAGTGTCCTTTTTAGTAAAAATTCATTTTTTAATATTCCCTTTAATTTTTACAATTTTTAAAGTTTATTTCCACTGATTTTAACCTTCAGACTCAAATATTCCAACCTCAGACTCAAGTGACCCCTTCAAAAATATTTTTAAAAAATTTGCTTGATTTTTCCACGTCGAATGACACCTTAATCATATTTTTCTGACAATTACTTCAAAAGTTACATAAAACAGCTCAGCGTTGCTTAACTTTCCAGATCGGACGGTTTAGAAAATATTTATTCAAATGTCCATTCTCAGACTCAAGTGACACTCTTAAAATTATCTTCATTCAACTCCTTATTCAATTCTCAATCGAATGACACCTCAACCATCTTTCTACGACTAATACATCAAAAGTTATAAACTTTTGAATTTAAGTCATAAAACATGCGGGCCTTCGGCCCGCATGCTTTCTGTAATGCGTTCGAATTTTAAAAAATAATTTTAGTTTCTGACGGTTGCCTCCGGCAACGCGTTATCTGCAACGCGTTACGAATTTTTAAAAAATAATTTAAATTTCCGGCGGTTGCCTCCGGCAACGGTTTTCTGCAACGCGTTCCGAATTCTTCGAAAAATAATTTAAATTTCCGGCGGTTGCCTCCGGCAACGATTTTATGCAACGCGTTCCGAATTCTTCGAAAAATAATTTAAATTTCCGGCGGTTGCCTCCGGCAACGCGTTATCTGCAACGCGTTCAGAATATAAATAAATAATTTTAGGTTCCGGCGGTTGCCTCCGGCAACGCGTTATCTGCAAAACGTTACGAACATAAAAAAATAATTTTAGGTTCCGGCGGTTGCCTCCGGCAACGCGTTATCTGCAACGCGTTCAGAATATAAAAAATAATTTTAGGTTCCGGCGGTTGCCTCCGGCAACGCGTTATCTGCAACGCGTTCCGAATTTAAAAAAAAATATTTTTAATTTCCGGCGGTTGCCTCCGGCAACGCGTTATCTGCAACGCGTTCAGAATTTTTAAAAAATAATTTTTAATTCTGGCGGTTGCCTCCGGCAACGCGTTATCTGCAACGCGTTCAGAATATAAAAAAAATAATTTTAGGTTCCGCCGGTTGCCTCCGGCAACGCGTTTTCTGCAATTAAATATGAGACTCAAGTGTCCTTTTTCTTAAAAAGTTATTTTTTAATATTCCCTTAATTTTTAGAATTTTTAAAATTAATTTCCACTGATTTTAGCCTTCAGACTCAAATATACCACACTCAGACTCAAGTGACCCCTTCCAAAATATTTTTAAAAAATTCGCCTGATTTTTCCACGTCGAATGACACCTCATTCATATTTTTCCGATAACTACTTCAAAAGTTACAAAAAACACCTCACCGTTGCCTAACTTTCCAGATCGGACGGTCTAGATCGTCAAAATTAAAAAGTTTTCCCCAAAATTTTAATTTCTTAAAAAATTCATAACTTTTTCAAAAAAAAGTCGAAAAAGCATAAAACAAAGCTTATTCGATGCAGAATTTAATTCTCTATCTTCCATCTCCCAACACTTTTCTTTTAACTCCAAAACAAAATATAGTTAAGGTCAACTTTATACATTCTCCTCAAAAATGCACTTTTTGCTCCGTATCTTTTTTTCCTTTAATCCAATCAACTTGAAACCAACTTTTTTCTTAAGAAACCCACTACGCTCTACAACTTTTCTCCCAACGACTTTTTCCTATCTCGTCGATAAACACCTTAAATTCAAGGTTACCACTTTGACATAAAAGCTTGTAAACAGCATATCTACCCTTCAAGTTGTCAGAACGACTTCAACTCTTTTTCTATCATATTCGAAATATGCTCTAGATGTGCCCTCTCAACTGACCCAACTTCCCCCGACTTTATCTTTCATCTCAAATTTCACTTCAAAGTTTCGAAAAAACACGTTTTTTCAAAATATCTAAAAAATTCGCTTCTTGACCCCAACTTTTCGGATTTTTCCTGAAAACTACATTAAATTTCCCATCTATAGCAAAAAACCCCACCCCGATACACCCACTCAAAAGTTCTGGGGACTTTTTTTTAGCTGAGTGCCTTTTTATTATTATATATAGATAATAGTTGTGCCCATTGGGGTATGGCGGCGTAGTGCGTATGCAATTCCTATTAGGATACTTTAGGTTTAATAGCGTTCTGCCCGTTGGAAAGCCTAACGGCTTTGGGGCGCGCTTCGCGCGCTGCTAGAATGTTTGGATGCCTGTAAAGAAAGGTTTAGCCATGCCTTTTCATTGCTTAGGGCCTTCGGCCCTCGCCGGTAAAGTTTTGCTTTGCCTTTTCATTGCTTCGGGCCTTCGGCCCTCGCCGGTAAAGTTTTGCTTTGCCTTTTCATTGCTTCGGGCCTTCGGCCCTCGCCGGTAAAGTTTTGCTTTGCCTTTTCATTGCTTCGGGCCTTCGGCCCTCGCCGGTAAAGTCTTGCTTTGCCTTTTCATTCCTTCGGGCCCTCGGCCCTCGCCGGTAAAGTTTAGCCCTGCCTTTGACTATTGCTCTGCCTTTTAGATGTAATGAATGCTCGGGCCTTCGGCCCTCGCACGGCGGGCCTCCGGCCCGCCGTGCCCTGCCTTTGACTATTGCTATGCCTATTAGATGTAATGAATGCTCGGGCCTTCGGCCCTCGCCTACGGCGGGCCTTCG